GCAGCATTTGTGCAGCATTTGTGCAGCAATGTTACTTTTACCCCATTCCACAGGGCAAAAGTAACATGAAATACTGCTTTTAAAAGGTTTCTTGAAGATTCACTTCAGATTCAAGTTCTGAAAGTCATTGGAATCTCTTTTTCACAGTTCGAAGAGGTTAAAAATCAATTTTTTTTTACAAAATTGTTGCTAGTGTTTTTTCTATCATCCTGCAAAGTGCAATTCTGCGTTTTTCAGGTTCCTTTTACCCCGCCTCACCCGAATCAAATTTCAGTGAAATACCTCTCAGTTGAACGGGTGAAATTTGACGAAATTTCCAAATCAGGATTAGCATGACAGAATACTTCTTAGTGCATATTTCGTTGATCCTCTGGTAAGTGCCGAAAATTAAGCGTTATCACACTCATCGCGAATGACCTTATCGAATGACCTTATCTAATGGCCTTGTCGAATGACCTTATTGGAGGAAGGGGCATCGAAAGCGCCATTCTCCTTTTTTCTTACCCTCAAGAAATTTATCTAAAGGACCATTGTTTGCAGTTTAACTGCGAGACAGTGCCAATATGAAATCTCTAAAGGCAATTTCCACACGTTGTAAAGTTTTCCCAACTTTTGTTTCTATCGATTTAGGGAATTTGGAATGCATGCATTAGATTCACCCAAGGACCAAGCAAACGCACGCAAAGCATTCCGATCACCCTCGATCGAACACTCCTGGAACTTGTTGAGATCGATTGCCTTCAGACGTTTTTTTCTTGGCAGATAAGACTCAGCAACAGCCCTATAGAGAAGTGGCTAGAGAGGCAGAGAAAAGGAATCTGGCTCTGTCTCTTCCTCCATTCCTCCATTACTTGACACGTTTTCCCTGCATTGTCTCGTCCGATGACTTTGAAACTTTGCTTAATTTCGCTTCACATTTTCAGGAGTTTCTTTTGCCCCGTTACATAAATAAAATCCTTGTTTCGGTCTGCGATTGGTATACCGTAGTGCAGTGTTTTCCAGCGTTTGGAAAGTTATCTGCGTGATTATTAATTCCACACCTAGAAACTTTCATGGCGAATTACCGCGAGCTGATGCGCCGAATTTTATCGAGATCGCCTGCTTGGTTTTGTCGATGAGCATGATAGGATCGCCTCGGTAATTTTTTTTTTCTCCCCTGTATAGTGACACTTGGGTCCCCTCACCTGTTGAAATTGTTGGACGAGTTGCATTTCCAGGCCTAAACAGTGCTGCATCATTCGGACCAGGTCGATCGGGCTTCGCTCATATCTTGGCTGCAGGAAGATAATATTTAAAATTAGTTTTTAAAAGATCTGATTGAACTTTAATTTTTAATTTAGTTAATGTTTAGACTGAAATGGTTCATTATATGGAAGCTCAGACCTTTCATAATAATTTATTACATATTAAATTTTCATTGTCTTTATCACTATTTAACATTTACTTTGGAAATATTCTTTTAAATAATTTCAAAGATTACTCTTAAGATGGCTTTAAAAAATAATGTTTAACGATGGAATTGAAATTAATTTTGACCAGTTATGGTTATAAAACTAAATAAATTGAGTTTATTTTTTCAAGTTTCGACCGTCGACGGCGAAAATCCCGCTCACGGCGAACGAGGCGATGGCTTCCGCAAGCTTGATCCTCGCGACGAAGTTGGCGCCCTCTACCGCCCCTTGCGCCCGCTGCAGCTCCCGGATGAGGGCGCTCACCAGGGCGCTCGCCCTCTCCTCCCCCGGACCGTCCTGGGCGATCTCTGACCTTTGGGGCGGAATGGAACATTCCTCACGTATCGCGAGGTGATAGCGACCTTGCGGACTTTGCCATCGACTTAGTTGTCTCGCATGTCTTTTTGCTGGTAGTCGTATATACCTATACTTACAGGTACGGTTCATATATCACATATATTACTCACAAGTTACATAATAAATAAACAAATGAATTAAGTAATAAGTGCAATGCCAATGTCTGAGCAAATGTAAATAGAGGTATGCTTGTCGTGACCCACGAGAAAATTTTTAGCAAAAACACTTTGATTCATGCTGGCAAAAAAATAGCAACCCGAGCTGTGATGGCTGCTGCTAAAAGCATTGGCCATGCAATTGAGAGGTTTCAGATACTTGAAACAGCAACAATGGAAAGTCGCCAACTGCTTCGCAATATTTGCAGTCACGCTCAATGAAGGCAAATGTCGAGGGTTAAAACTTTGGGTCAAGGTCTCGTGGCTTGTAACATAATTAATAAATCTCATGCGAGGTCAAAATTAAATAAAATAATTAAAGATCCAAAGACAGACTGAACTTTGTTCAAAAACATGTTCGATGGCGGTTTTTGTCCCTCATTGCTTGGAGCCGCCGCTGCGCGAACTCGAGAGGCATGAATCATCGCTGCGTTCTGCCTCGGCTCAAGGCCGGGGCGCACGCGCGCACACGTTACGCACGCGTTACGTTATGTTACGTTATTTCGACCCACGTGCGTTTAATTGGGGGAAACGTGGGAATCCCTGGGCAGGGCCAGAAATTTTAACAGCACCCAGTGAAAACTCGGGTTTGCTTTTCGTGGCCCACACTGTATTCCAGAAAAGGCAGGAAACACAAATCGTCACGAGTTAGAAATAGGAAGGATAACCGTCGACGCGTTTCTCACCAGTTCTGCTCTTCGATCCAATTGGCGAGGTAGTGGCGGACTTCGATGGGGAAGTGGTCGGGGTGGTAGAGGGCCTGGACCTGGAGGAAGGTGTCGGCTGGAAGCTCCTGGATCTTCGCCCATAGGGCCATCGTCGGCTGGATGGGCTGGCTCGCTCGTTCCACAAGTGCTTCGCTCCCGGGGGCAGTCCTGGGACTATCTCCTCGACGTATCAATTTCTGGAAATTTGTCGTGAAATCTCTCTGAATGACGCAACGCAGGAGAGGATTCGCGATACAGTCCCGTGTATGTAGGGCGTTGGCTTCGACGAGTGGGAATTCTTTTTAGATAAACTCTTCGCCGTGGTGCATCCTGTCGAGCGAATAGATAACATTTCATCATTAAAAAAAAAAGAAAACAAATCTTAAAAAAAAATCGTATAGTTTAAACAAAATCAAGATATCACAGGAAGCCACGCGCGTTTACCAAATAAAACAAAGAAACAGCCAACACCGCTTGGGATTGTCGGCAACGTATCTCGCCGCGTATCGCATGGCTTCCGCCCACGATCCACCGTCGCAGACTTCAACGATAGAATCACCCAGAGGGCGATTGACGCCCGTGGCAGAGGGCGACTCAAGTGCTGCAACGTGGAACCCAACGCCGATGCACTCCGTGACGATTACGCTTTGTTTTGTCTCCTCGTTCTCCCAATGGCTTATCTAACCCGGTAACTGATACGAATGCTCGTAGAACCAACGTATGTAAAAAAGAAAAAGACAGAAAAATGTTTTGGGTGTATCTTGCAGACGATAAATGTTGCTGGTGATGGGTCGACACAATATTTTAAAACCTGGACTGGGAAGGACAACGACAAGTGACACAAGCGACTGAACACAGTAATAACAATACCGTAACCTTCCCCGAGGCTCTATCATGAACCAGTGGATGGTCCTTTCTTTGTTTTTTCTTGTTTTTTTCTGCTTTTTTTTTTGTCCAAGGGAGATCAGGAGAATATCGCCTGGGCCTTTCGCGTAGCTAACCCGAGACTTACCCACTAAGCCACCGCGATGCGGTTTAATAGCAAAAAATTCCTCTTTGAAGTGAAAACCACTACGGTTGGAGAGTGGAACTTTTTATCCACCGAATGTCTCCTTTCATAGCACGATCTGCAATGGTAAAGAGGATTAGGAAAGTTACGGATCCTAATCCGGGGATTAGGATGCTAAGGAGGGGATATATATAGAAATCCGATTGGATACTAGCTCGGGATCGACTCCAAACGCAATCGTATTCGGCTTCAAATTAGGTTTCGTTTAACAAAATCAACATCAAAATCAAGATTGACATATCGCATCGCCTTACCTAGATACTGCAAGCGGATACGAGAAATAATGTTTCCGGTGGGTGAACCATTAAAGCAAAAAGAGGAACCTTTATACGATGCTGCCCAAATGGCAAAACTATGACGGATAGTTCAAGGAGACGATGGGCCATCGAGTCCGTGTGGAGCCGTGCATAACAATGCTTGGACACCGAAGGACACTTGTGGTGTCTTCGAAGAAAGGGCATCACCTTTACCAAAAGACGACTCAGATGAATAGAATGGATTATATGGGCCTAACAGGTCATTTTTATAAGTGAGACGCAGTAAAAATTCCTGGGTCTAGTCATAATTGAGACTATCCTTCGATCTACAGCGTATTTTCAGTCCAGTATTTTCAGTCCAGTATTTTCAGTCCAGTATTTTCAGTCCAGTATTTTCAGTCCAGTATTTTCAGTCCAGTATTTTCAGTCCAGTATTTTCAGTCCAGTATTTTCAGTTCAGTATTTTCAGTTCAGGGCATTGCTCATATTGAAATCTGAGTTATGATAAATTTCGCGCGGGGATCGAGCTCTCAGCGAATCGAATCCCAACGAGAAAAAAACAACTGTGGAAGGGCAGTGGAGATCCGTCAAAGAACTTTCTGGAAGATGTCAATCGGAATTACCTGAGAAAAGTCTTGACATTTGGTCCACCACTGATGACATCATCATCTCCCGCTTAATTTGAACGTCATAGCGCTGATGCGTCAGCAGCAACCGAATTGTCTTGGTCCGTTTCCATTGGCCAAAGTAAGCGTTCTGCGACAGCCGCATTGGCTCGCCTAAAAATCGAGGATACAGTGTTTCGAGGATACGACTGATGTTTCGGAACAGATAGGTGAAAGGCAGGAATGTAAGCGAGGGAATTTTTGCGAGCAAAACGAGCAAAGCAAAATCGGGGGTCCATTGGACCCTTTTGCTCTTCTTTCTCCTGAAAGCAAATCAAATAGTTTTAAAATTTAAATCAAATTTCATTTATGGATATGTACGTATATAACTATCAATGAGACAAATGTTCAATTTGTAGAAACTTCATTTTTAAAAAATGTTTCCGGGCAACGGTGGTCCATTGAACTCCCGGATGAGGGCGAAGAGAGTTGGAGTGACAGGACTTAAGATGAAGATGGAGGAAAGAATCAGTGTGGAGGATCTGTGGAAAGCGAATAGGTTAACAAGTAGGTGTGTCAGACAGGGAAGGCTCCAAAACCATGCCAAAAGCAAGTAATAGCAATTTATGGAACGAAATCCCTTGAAGGACTTCAGTGACCTTTACTTTCCAGGGCTTTCTTTTCGAATTTACCCCCCCGCCAAAAAAAGACAAGATTTACTCCATTCCCTTTAGCAGCCCGCGGCCGTGCGGTGGATCTGTGTGCGGTTGAACCTTTTCCCCTTTTCGTGGCATTTTAAGCAAACAACAAAAAAAAAATCACAATAATAATAAAGAGCACCAACCGAATACTGCTGACTTACGCGAAGCACCGCCGCAAACCGGCGATGGGACAAACGCGACAAAACGCGACAAAACTATATGGCATATGAAGATCACTATAATGCTGTTCTCATCGTCGAAATGATGCACTTATGCCCAATAACGTCAATAATTTTTTTTTTTTACCCAATGAGCACTGCCACCGCCTTCGATTGGCACCCATGGTACTGGAATGAGACACACCAGAGGAAGAATTCGGAACTCCCAGGAATCAGATGGAAAAGGGAGATGGTGTCGATTCCTCATGTAACACTTTCCCATGTAACGATTGTAACGATAGCATGTAACGATTCCCTCATGTAACACTTTCCCATGTAACAATTGTAACGATAGCGTGTAACGATTCCCTCATGTAACACTTTCCCGTGTATCGATTGTAACGATAGCATGTAACGATTCCCTCATGTAACTTTCCCATGTAACGATTGTAACGATTCCTTTGTGTAACACTTTCCAGTCAGCTCTGTCTCATTGTATTCGAAAGAGATATAAGTTCCGAATTTGAAAGATACACGCTATCGCCTGTTGGCCCAATTTTCAGGGAGTTCCGCTCCTTGACCTTAAATTTTGACTCGTCGTTCCAACTCGGAACGCCAGAAATTGCAACACTTTCGAATCCCCCAAGAAATGGGGATGATTTTGAGCTTTGCCGAGATGGCAAATCTCGGCTCGATCTTACCGTGTGGCGATCGAGTTTCCGATCGGGTGCAGGCGAATACGCAATCTGAGACCTCGAGTCCCGAAGCTTATGGGCCAAAGCGAGCTTTAGACCGGCAATCGGTACATTAGACCGGCGATTAGACCGGCAATCGGGTTTCCGCTCATGATGTGTGAGCACTTCGCCCGGGAAGGAGTTCAATACGATGCTATTATCGCCGAAATTTGGCCTCATGCGAAAATGGTGAATTTTTTTTTGCTTTTGACCAGATCATTATCGCCTCCATGTCATAAGCTTTCGATCGATACCTCATTCATGAAAATCCGATTCATGAAAATCCGATTCATGAAAATCCGATTCATGAAAATCCGATTCATGAAAATCCGATTCATGAAAATCCGATTCATGAAAATCCGATTCATGAAAATCCGTTCATCCATCTAGGAGCAGTTTCCCGGAATTACGAACACACAGGCAGATTAGGCTCTCATGCATGTGGATGAGATATGGATGAGAAATGACCGGAAGTGGAAGCCATGCATCCCATCCCGAAGAAAGAGGTTTTCCTCTTTTGCGCATATTAAATTAGTTTCAGACTTCGCGATATAACTGGCTTGTACGCTTCGCCATTCTTCTTCTCGCACGACATGCCCTTCACTCCGAGCCGTTCCACCCAAAAATAATGCGTTTCTGCGGCAGATCTTCGAGGGGCAAAGGGGCATTTACCCCTAGGGGCAAATACATCATCAGAGACCTCCAGTCCTCGAGCTTAGAGGCCTAAGCGACTGCGGACCGAACGATCAGCTCAACGCGATTTGCGGCTCGGATCAGCAAAGGTCGGTCGGCGATCGAGTTCCGGGTCGGAAAAGCCGACCCGCGCAGGCCTCCGACGCGCAGACAGGAGGACGCATAGCAACAACGTCCGCAGCGGACTTTTTGGACTTTTGACCCAATAAGTACCGGCTCCAGGTCCTAAACTTTCGATTGACACCTCAGTTAATAAACTCGGTTCATCCGTCTAGGAGGAGTTTCCCAGAATGGAGTGGCAGACTCAGCCATGTGCATGGATAAGTCGTCTTCCCATCCGTCACAAATTTTTTTTCGTGATTTTTGGCGCTGGAATTAACATTTCCAAGGAAATGAAAAAGGAGGGATACCTGAATGAACGTTTCTAAAAGGTGAACAGCGCTTAATAAATTCGATGAGTTTCGTTGATAAATTCGATGAGTTTCGTTGATGAATTCGATGAGATAATTGTCTTCCTCTGAGTTTCTTTCCCAGTGGGAAATGCATAGCTGTTCACAATTTCTATTTAAAAAATTTCTCGAAATGTACTTGGTCCACATCGGAATCCAAATAAAAAAAGAAATTCCCAAATAAGGTAGTTGTTATTTCAATGTGAACGCAGCTCGTATGTGCAACTCCAAATTTTCTTGAAAGATCTGATCTGACCTTACGGAATCAAATAAAAATTTGATTCGGTCTAACGTCAATAATATATTCTATCACTTCCGAATCAAATCGCTTGATTACTGAATCTTCAGGGGTCACAATTCACGTCGTCACTATTAGGGGTCACAATTCACGTCGTCACTATTAGGGATCACAATTCACGTCGTCACTATTAGGGATCACAATTCACGTCGTCGTATCGTGGTGGGTCATCGCCACATTTCAATGTCATTCACGTAACATTGTGTACGTGTATGTTTGGCCACGTGGGCCATCATATACCTGTATTATCTCAAAATCAACATTACGTGACCTTGGACTGTGAGATAGCTCTCATCACAGTGTTTCCAAATGCTGCTGAGCTGTCGCATGAATGAGTTACCCCCTTGCTCAGATCTAATTCCATGCACCATAGTTTGTAAGGGGTTCGAGATGATGAAATGGCAGGTGTCACGTGTGCCATGTCGCCTAGCCGCGTGCCATGTCGCCTAGCCCTGCACGTGACACAGCACGCAAATACGAGATTTTTTCCTGAGGGATGAGTTAGCTCATGAGTGAGCATAACTCGCGTTTGTATGAGATCTCTATGTTATTAGCGAATTTGCTTGCAAAAACTCACCATGGACGCGCCTTCGGCGCTCCATGTGCAAGGAAAATTGCTAATGCAATTAGAGCGTCATTTTTCGAAGCTCACCCATAATGATGCGGTCAAACACCTTGGTTAATGGATTAGCAGGACTCTAATGAAGTCCCTCTTTCAAACTCGTAAGGCTACATACAATGCTAATGAGAAAATACGTTGTTTCGTAATTTCGTAATTTTCGTAAATACAACCCATAGCTTTTAATGTTCCTGTTTCGTTAAAGAAAATGTGCAACAAAAAAAATGGCATTGGCCAAAGCTTCCTTGAGTGGATTGGGACTTTAATCCGTGTCCTTCCACCTAGTCTAAGTCCTAGAAGGGCAAGGTGGAAATCATTCATTCTAATTAAAGCAATTCGATTAAACTGGAGAATGAGAATTTTTACGCTTGCACGAGTCCAAGTTAGAGTGGCAATTGATAAGAAGCGATTTAACAAATAAAGAAAGCATAATGCATTAACCCTTTTAGTGCTACGAGCCGATATTTCGGCCGCAAAATTTTTTCTCGACAGGACTGGTAATGTGGAAAAATATAATTTAAAAAGAATAGACTGGACAAAGTTGGATGCATGAGATAATCCTTAAAAATTTACCATCTTTTCGCGGGAGCAAGGTTCCAGCTGATAACGACGCGAGCCTGCCTTTTACATATCAAAAACCCTCTCTTCCAGAAGAGCGCCGGTCGCGAATGCGCACAGCCTGCATTGCGGGCGGTTCATGCTGGCTCAGGGGTCAGGCGGGTCGCACGGCCAAGCAGGCTGATGGAAGGGGTTCAGGGACCCTGCGAGTGGGAACTTGTCGATTGCAGTTTCTTGGGTGCATGCCGACTGTCTGCAGGTATGTATGGTATAGGGGTTTCGATGTTCGTGCGACGCACATATGAACAGGCATTTCATATTTTTGTGCAGAATTGCAGCATTGTGAAAGCATATAAACTTTATGCCACGATGTCACAATGTGACACGTGGGGGCGTTGACTGAACCAGTTGGAAAACTACGGTTCGCTTATATTACTTACCCATCTCCCGACCCAGAAGCGTAACACTTCATGCATCACAGCCTATAACCCCGCTGCAAACAGAACAAGGACCATTAGACAGAAGCAGAAATGAAGAATAAACGTACTTGGTCCGATGGCCGGCGTGGAGGACGTGGCGGAGGAGGGCCAGCGACGCAAGGTGCCGAGTGGCATCCAACATCCCGACTGGAAAGAGCGAGTTGGGATGGATCGAGGGAGGATGGATCGAGGGAGGTTCTCTCGAGCGGTCTCAGGAGTCTGTGACACGATCGTGCAGAACATCTGGCCGGAATTGGAGATTCCAGGCTGGGGACCTCGGGGGAGGCGAATATGTCTCCCTGGCGAGCCTCACGGCGTCGTTCGCTTTAGTGGAAATATGTAGTTATGATGACTGCAAGCTTGTTTTGTTTAGTGTTTTTTTTTTTATTTTTTTCCCTTCCTTTTTTCGTTTCACTTCGACTTTGCTTGGAATTTCGTATGTCTTGTATCATTTAAATTATAAATTCAGGGGCAGATGAGGTAAGGACATGCGTAAAACAGTATTTTTCACAATTTAATTTTGATAGAGAAACAACGCACAAGGAGCAACAAGTTTACTACCTTGCATATTCGACATCCGAGCAGGGTGACTGGCTGTACTGCAAGGCACGGGGAACCGGTTCCTGTGGGGGAAAACCAGCTGGGGCCTCCTCGTCGTGCGGGGAGGCCAGGCCTCCCGTCTGGATACTCGAACAGACCTGGGTCGAGAGGAGGATTTCATCTGGAGGGAAAAAATCTGGAAGGGGTTTCTTGTGCTCGAGAAAATGGTTGCGCGGAGGGAGAGATCGGTCGTGCTTGGCCACGGATTATGAGGATTTCTAATCACGACAAATATATTTAGGTTGTTTCACGTGAAATGTCCGATTTTGAAGATGAGATTTAAAAGGCTATATTTTTAACAAATAAGAATTTCATTTAATCAAAATATGCTCCATTAGCTTGAATTGTCTTCTCCCAACGGGATACTAAGGAAAATATTCCATTTCTATAAAATTCTACATTTTTTGAATTAACAAACTCCTCAAATGCTCCAATTACAGCCTCTCGGTCCCGGAATGTTTTATTCCGGAGAAACAGCTCCAAGTGACGGAAAAGGTGA